TATATACACCTTCAAACACTTTTATTTTATACCCCCTGTATTATAGCCAGAAATTCTGATATTTCAACCTGTATTTGTGTTGCTGAAATCGTTGAAACTTCTCAAAATATGGGAACGATTTTAAACCAGTAAAAATGCGGACTTTCATACGCACACGGACAGCAGCCTTTTGTGTTGAGAGCTGTAGGTGTTTTGTAGTTCTAGCATCTTTATATAAATGCTATTGCTGACAGCATAATTCATTATTTTCATCATTGCTTCGAGGCCATCACAGTACTCACAAAATGAACAACAAGAAGTTGATGGAAAGATTATGCCTTTATTCGTACGCGAAATTTGAGAGAATAATGGACACAAGAAATGTATGCGATTTATTTTCCGTTACTGAGCTGAAATGCGAGCCAGGAACATTTTAGATCCATCGGACTGATGGACTCCTTCATGATCCTTGCAAATGTAGCAGACGTCGCAACAAATGTCCTTATTTTCGTTCAGTTCAGTCTTGCAATTGACGCAACCGAAACAACAAATATCCTTTGATTCAGCAGAATCTTGAATTGGAGATGCGTCTGTGAAATCCGAAACGACGACGACAAAGCAGACGAGGGCAAAAAAGGCAATGAATGATTTCATCCTGTGGAAATACAGAAATTATCAATACGCGTCTTTTTTTTAGAAAAAGAACAAATATGATGAGCTATACCCAAAAATCGAAAATTTTGGAAATTGAACTTTTACTCACTTGTTTGTGTGCGTTCGAAGGTATTTATGAGATTTGAAAAGTTTTGACTTAGATTATGTCACTCCTTAATTGATTGAGACTTGGTCGTTGTGATGTTCCTTCTCACACTGCGGCCTTCCTTTTTATTTCACTCAATCCTACATGATTCACAATTCGAACGAGGAAACTTCTTGCAACAATTAGTGAAAGTTTATCGCACCCATGCTTGTGAGTAATTCATTTGTCCCCAGCACGTGTGAAACGGTTCCTGGATATTTTTGTTCCAAGTAGATTCAAGGGTTTTCCGCTTAAAATATGTCTTTCTCTGTAGCGAAACTTTCCAAGTCGTTCTGCGAATTTCAACCATTCTTTCAGTAAAGGAGCAAAAATTATCAATCTGCGTTCAAAAAAAATTCTAGTGACGTGTCATACAAAATCTGAGTTGTCCTTCCCCTTCAGTCGAAGTCTATTGCTCATAAAATTAATTTATTTTGGCAAAAAAAAACTGTAAAACAAAAGTGAAATAAGGCGTAAACTCATTTGACTTATGTGCTTCATATTAGGGAAAAAGGGCGGACATTAATGATCTCAATCCATCGAATATTCTTCTTTCTCTGTACAAATTTCCATGCAATATACGAAGAAATCGAAAACTAACTAACTAAGGTTTGACACAGAATAAAAAAGGTACGCGGAAATCCATTATTGACATCTCTTTTCTTCAAACAAAAAATCCAGGTACCAATTCACACCTGGGACTAAATGACTAGTTCACATGCGTTACATGTGCGATAAAATTTCACTAATTTTGGCAAGAATAAGTTTCCGCGTTTGAAAGCTGGAACATATTAGGGATGGAATGAAATAAAAAGCTGGCAGTGAGGGAACGAACATCACAAAACTTATTGAGCTTCCAAAAGGAAGGATTCGTTCCAGTCTCAATCAAGTGAAATAATTCCAATCAAAACTCTTCATTTATCATAAATACCCTTGAACGCACAAACAAGTGAGTCAATTTTCAATTTTCGAAATTTTTGTGTTTGGTTACATCTCATCTTGCATTCTTTTCCTCGCAATGAAACAGAAGCATGTTATTGATAACTTTTCTTCATTTCCACAGAATGAAAACTTTGATTGTCTTTTTTGCTCTCGTCTGCTTCGCCGCCATGATGTTGGAATCCACAAACGCATCTCCAATTCAAGATTCTGCTGAATCAAAGGATATTTGTTGTTTCGGTTGCGTCAATTGCAAGACTTAACTGAACGAAAATAAGGACATTTGTTGCGACGTCTGCTACATTTGCAAGGATCATGAAGGAGTTATTCAGTCAGATGGATCTAATATGTTCCTGGCTCGCATTTCATCTCAGTAAAGAAAAATGAGTTGCATGACTTCCTATATTCTGGGATAAGCTCAAATGCAATGTGCGAATAAAGGCCTATTCTTCAAACCCAAGTACCTTGTCTTCCGTCTCCATCCACTCGATTCTTTCACGTTACACCTTTCTTTCAATTACAGTGTATTAAAGTGTATATTTCACGCAGTACATACTGTATAGCAAACGGATTGATGTACGTCATCGGCAGTCGATGGAAACGATGCATATTCCCATTCCTCAGTCAAATTGTAAGTAATAAGTCCAAAATATATTTTTAAATATCTGCGAAAATATAAACATATTCTTAAAGTGTACGTTTCAACCCCGGATTTTTAAAGTTTGCACGTATAATCCATTCATATTCCTACGAAGGAAGCGGGATCTCTCTGATAGGAACGAATTTGCCTCAAAATCTGTCCTCAGATGTTACGTGTACTCTGCCTATGCCAAAACAAAATTTCAACGTATTTTCTGAAATTTTATTTTATAAAACGTAGAAACTTCTTGCAAGATTGCAGTATAGTTTATCAAGCTTGAGAACGAATCATTCGGTCTGGAACTGTACCTGGGTTTGTTACATATCTGGGTTCCCAACGGATTTCTTCCTTGCCTTATTCTTGACTTCACAAGCATTTTGTGTTTAGGTTTTTTATTTTTATTAAAATGGAATCAATCAGTCAGAAGAATAGCCTTTGTCCATTCAGAAGTACTGCTTGTACCATTTTTGTTCTTTTCATTTTCAAAGCCTTGGGCGTCTTTTGACTGTCAGAACAAATTTGAGCAGGCATGTGATTGGCATCTCGCTGAAATAGTGCTAATCTTCCTTTCTTGAAAATAACATTCTCGATGAGTCTGTGAACCAAACCTGAGTTTGTCGTCGTCGTTTCGGATTCCACAAACGCATCTCCAATTCAAGATTCTGCTGAATCAAAGGATATTTGTTGTTTCGGTTGCGTCAATTGCAAGACTGAACTGAACGAAAATAAGGACATTTGTTGCGACGTCTGCTACATTTGCAAGGATCATGAAGGAGTTATTCAGTTAGATGGATCTAAAATGTTCCTGGCTCGCATTTCATCTCAGTAAAGAAAAATGAGTTGCATGACTTCCTATATTCTGGGATAAGCTCAAATGCAATGTGCGGATAAAGGCCTATTCTTCAAACCCAAGTACCTTGTCTTCCGTCTCCATCCACTCGATTCTTTCATGTTACACCTTTCTTTCAATTACAGTGTATTAAAGTGTATATTTCACGCAGTACATACTGTATAGCAAACGGATTGATGTACGTCATCTGCAGTCGATGGAAACGATGCATGTTCCCATTCCTCAGTCAAATTGTAAGTAATAATTCCAAAATATATTTTTAAATATCTGCGAAAATATAAACATATTCTTAAAGTGTACGTTTCAACCCCGGATTTTTAAAGTTTGCACGTATAATCCATTCATATATTCCTACAAAGGAAGCGGGATCTCTCTGATAGGAACGAATTTGCCTCAAAATCTGTCCTCAGATGTTACGTGTACTCTGCCTATACCAAAACAAAATTTCAATCGGTCTGGAACTGTACCTGTTGGAACTGTATCTGGGATCATCCCAACAGATTTCTTCCTTGCCTTATTCTTGACTTCACAAGCATTTTGTGTTTAGGTTTTTTATTTATATTAAAATGGAATCAATCAGTCAGAAGAATAGCCTTTGTCCATTCAGAAGTACTGCTTGTACCATTTTTGTTCTTTTCATTTTCAAAGCATTGGGCGTCTTTTGACTGTCAGAACAAATTTGAGCAGGCATGTGATTGGCATCTCGCTGAAATAGTGCTAATCTTCCTTTCTTGAAAATAACATTCTCGATGAGTCTGTGAACCAAACCTGAGTTTGGTTCCCAGGCTCCACAAGGACAAGTAGAATAGTTCCCTTTTAAGTTGTTAATCCTGATCTCCAGAAATAATCCTGCAAATCTATCTGCTTTCAGACCAATCCTTTTTTTTAACATTCTTTGTTATGTGGTGGATTTTAGCTGATCTCCAGAGAGAGCAAGCTGTTTGCAAATTTTTTAAGTACAGTATTGTTGAATTGGTCCCTCAAATTGCTTCCATCAGTTTTTATTTTCTTGCTAAGCAATTCTCTTCTTCAAAAATGCAATACAACAACTCTATATTAAGATTCAAGTCCCAACAGCAACCTGGTTGATTAATTTGTGTATTCATTTTCTCTTTCCTGAAATTTTTGGTGATTCAATCCTTTGCTTATTTAGCCAGCTCTCTCTGAATCAAACTTTTAGCCACAATCTTGTGAGTTGTCTGGCTTATTTTCTCTCACATTGGCCAATGCTGACAAGGGAATAGTCGAGTTTTTCTCTATCAAGGCCTTCTTTTTTCATTTCTATGATTCTGTGGATTACCAATGACCGATGGATTGTTTCCATGATGGAAATTCTGATCTTTAGCACTTAACAAATTGTTTAGGACCTTAAAGAGGTTTCTTATGTACAAAAATTCGAAAAACCTAAAGTAAAATAACACCGAGGCTATATTTAACAGGAACTGAAAAAAAACGAATTCGTTGTAAGCATTATTTCGTTATGACAACGAGATTCGTTCCAACGAAATTGCGCTGCATTTGGCATAATTGCTGATTATGCTGAGCACTCAATTTCTTCCGGGAAAAATTCCTTACCTCTGCCTTCAATACCCGAGAAATTACGCTTATTTAATCAAATACAGTATGTGCGTAAGCGGGAAACTATGGAGAAGTCCGTTGCACACATGTGACCAAATGAGTTGTTTACAAGCGCAAGAGCGATAAACTTTCACAAATTCTTTCAAGAAATTTCCTTCTTCAAAATTTGGAACTTGTGTGATTGAAATGGAATAAAAAGCTCGAAGTGTGGGAATTCGGGCATTACATCAACGCCCGTGAGTTTCGAAAGAGAAAAGGTTGGTTGAGTCTCAGTCAAAGTGACATAATTCAATTAATTTTTTACTTCTCGAAATACTGTACCTTCACCCACTGAACCAAACGAGTAGGATTAAATTTCCTTCATTTCCGGGCAAGGTTCATGCACTATTTTACTTGCAAAAAAAGCGTTTTAATTTTCTTTTATATTTTATTTATACAGAATGAAATCATTCATCGCATTGTTTGCCTTCATCTGCTTTGCTGTCCTGGTCTTAGAATCCACACACGCAAGATTCTGAAGCCAAGGAAATTTGCTGTTTCGGTTGCGTGAATTGCATGACTGAATCAAATGAAAATAAGGACATCTGCTGCGATTTTTGTGTGATTTGTAAGGATTATGAAAGGGTCCAGTCTGATGGATCTAAAATGTTTTTGGCACGCATTTCCTCACAATAATGCAAAATTGTTTCATGAATTTTCAGCGTGCATTCCATGAAAACAATGAGTTTCAAATGGGTCCGTGGATAAACATATTTTGTTCTCGAAATTTGTCATATTAATTTGATGCTGCGAGGGATTATGTGCTCGATGTCAAAGGAAGTATGGTTTTCAGGTGGAAAACATTTGAGATCATGGTTTCCAATCAGCAGAGTCAATAACGAGTTTCATTATGCAAATTAAACAATGGTTGATGTTCTCTTGTTGGCGTTCCAGTTTATTTTCATTCTCTAGGCAAAATATCAGCGACTACTAATGTCAGAAGGGTGATCGATCAAATGTGCCAAAGATAAGTTTAGAACACTTGAAGCCTTGAAATTGTGTTGCATAAAAAATATAGAATGCAAAAATATTTATGGGCCTTTGGAGTTATGCACATTTTAATTGGTTGAATGATTGATAGATATACAAGCTTCATTTGCCATTTCTCAGTTCTCAGCATTCACAAGGCTAAAAAATGTTTCCGACCCCCCCCCCCCAAACACAGGCAAACATTCAAACACATTCAATTTCCTTGATTTATTGTTTAAATAAAAATTAGCTTTTAAATGAAATGAACTGGGTGGAGTTTGGGATATATGTTTAAACTATATAGAGTCAAATGTCTCCTCTTCACAATATTTTATGGCACCAAAAGCAATTTTTCCTATTCAACACCCACATAAGATCAGGATGTTGCTTAAAACCCTTGGGCAGCAGAGGGTCATTTTGCATTTTATGATTGAGCCAGGATTTTTTTGCAGGCTTCAGCATTCTGGTTTGACCAATGATCACCAAAATGCAGCTTTGGCTGAGTAGCCAAAGTCAAGAAAAATCCCGCAAGAATAAAGCCATTGTTCTGAAAATCCCTCAATGCTAATCCCATGGCAGGAATGTAGAAAAAGTGCCACCAAACATCAACTTTTTTTTACATTGTTTACAGGAATGCAAAAACATCTTGCATTTTCCCCAACTTTGGCTCTTCTAATCGTTCTTGTTTTGCCCTTTTTTCTACTCCTTTATTGTGTCACAAAATTTTGCAGATCAATCCTGGCACTGCCAATCAAGGTAAACTTAAGTAAAATTGATTGTTTTGTATACAGCTTGGTCATTGAATGTTTAGAGGTTACACTTCTTCTTTTGCACCAAAGCAGCCATCTCAAGAATAATGAAACACTAATTTTTCTAGCAATAAATAATTCCATTAGTTCTGTATAGTTTCCTTTTCTATTTGCCAAGATTTACTTCTCAACTTTCTTTCGAGTTCTATATTACTTTTCACTAGCAAGATAAGTCAAAGGGCATAGGATAACGCTCACATTTTATCGGGCCTCCAATGTTTATCAAGTTTTCTTTAATCTCGCTTATCAATAATTCTGCATGCACTTGGCATATATTTCGTCATTCAAACAAATAATTCCGTTGGTGCGAGCCGCTTTTTGGGACATTAACCCTGAAATAAGTACTCCACTTACCTTCACCTGATGTGAGTAGATGCTTCACGTTATTTCGCCTAATTTAAAATTACGTATTTTAATGAAACGAGTTCGGTTGGTTAGGATAAACATGAGGAACTACGTCGCCTTCACGCTGATCCTTGCCGCAATGTTTGCCTCGTCCAACGGCAAAAACGTGAATTTGCCAGCAGCAAAATGCCTGGGTTGCATCGATGAATTTTGTCCTTCCACTAAAAGCTGTTTCCAAGCTTGCGAAGTCGGAAAATGGGATGCATGCGTTTCCTGTCTCAGCTCAACCTGTGCAATTTGCGATCCTTTGTGCTACCATGAAGTTGTTATGCATTCTGAGGACCAGCAAGAACGCGTGTGTCCGTCCTGGTGCACGGAAGCACCAGTTTTCTGCAATTGCTGTGCCATTTGTGGCTAATCTCTCACGGAATTAACAGGAATTAAAGGAAGTCTGTGAGAAATGTTGTATGTTTGTAGTCATTCATTCATCCAAGCAATAGCCTCTTCTAAAATATTCACATCATCAAGCAGCTAATGGAAGAGTAGCCTCTTCTCAGGAAAGAAATCTCTTCGAATAATCATCTCAACTCTGGCTGAGAGAATTCGCAGGAGGAAACTCAAATAAAGGTTATCCCTCTTCTCTGTACACACCATGCATAATTTTTATCAAGTTTTCTGCCAATCAGAGTCAGGAAAAGTAAAACCCCATTATGGCTGTATAATCTTTATTTTCAAAGAAAGCAGTCTCTTCACTAATTTTAATGTTTTCAGAGGATCATGAATTCTTATTCCCTGCTTATCTTTTCATATTTATTGCTTTTTTAATTTTTGCAGTAATTCTTTTTATTCACTGTGTTGCATTTTAATTTTTCAGCGTTCCTTCTGTGAATTATTTCTATGCAGTGAAATCACGTTAATAAATTTTTAAAATCATAGGGACATGTTCTTAAAACGTGGCCTTTTGAATACAAGTTTCCAGCTGCGAACTGGCTGATTGTCCTTACTTCATTTTTATTACACTGTGCCAGTGTCTTCAATTCTGCTGTTGGGTTCTGCTTATACCTGAAAAGAACAGCACCATAATCAAATATGTGCTAGACAAATGCTTAGAGCCACTGTCAAAGTTAATACAGTATAGATGGTTTTGAAAATTCGGTTGATGAAAAGTTTTGAAACTACAGACAGGTGTAGTTTTATAATCATGAAAATATTGTGTTTCTTGAAAGATACAAGAACCACATTTCAACAACCTGAAATGTAGATACAATCTGAAATTTAGTTCTTGAATGATTAGATCTACAAACTCTTTTAAATAGCAAAAAAAAATCCCAAAAGAGAAGGTTCTTATCCCCATGGATCATACATACATCATAACTCAAGGTATCACCATATGTTTTGCATTATACTGTACATTCTCGAGGAAATAATGGACTCATTAAGTCATGGTATAGCATGTATCCAAATTGTTGATTCAAGCTCTCAATTGAAAAGAAGTAACACTGTCAAATATCAAAAATTGTACGTACAACATGTTTAATATCGCCTGAAATTAAATAAATGGATCATTTGTGGACCTCTGATACTGTGTATATAAATTTATATGAATGTCTAGCTTGTGCATCATTGTGGCCATCATTCACTAGAAATTAGTGAAGGCTTGGTCTCAAATGACATTTGGCGAAAAACAATCTGAAACGCAATTCTAAAACAGGCACAGGCGACAATTTCAACGGAAAATCCCTCCAGCATATTCCAATTACAATCGAAGAATACAGTACTACTGAATATACAAGTGAAAGAACTGTCAGCATACCTTCAAACTTCGGTCCAAAAATTTGACAAAAAGGTCATGCAATACTGCAAATTAAGACCTTTTTGACTGTACATTTCCAATGTTGTGAAAAGTGAACCAGATTTGAAAATTGGTTGCTCATCACACACCCTCCTGGGATTGATCTACGGATATCCTGACACCAATTCATTGAATTCTACTTTTAAAAAAATTAGAAATGGTAAGCTTGTGATGCTTGATGACCTAATTACAGTAAAATGCAGCACAAAGAATTACGAAATAGACCATTATTCCTACACTGCAATGGAGTATATTGAGGAAAAATTGCCTGTAATATCATCGAACTGATTCTTCTTCAATCTGAGGAAATACGAGTCAAGAACATTTTAGATCCATCTGACTGAACGTTCTCATAATCCTTGCAAATGACGCAAAAGTCGCAGGAGATGTTCTTACTTTCGTTCACTTCAGCCTTGCAATTGACTCATTCAAAACAGCAAATATCCTTCAGAATCTTGTAGCAGAGATGCCTCTCGTTTTCCAGACACAATGACGACAAAGCAGACGATGCAGGCGAACAGAGCAATGATGAAGGATTTCATGTTCTATAGAACGGATGAAAGTGATTTTCAGACATGATAATTCGAGGGACAAGAGCAAGAGTAATTTCCATACAGAAATCGCACAAGTCTGAAGAAAATAGAGACTTACTGCTTGAGCGCGCGGGTATGCTGAATATGGAAAAGTTTTAAATTCAATCAGCAGGTCACTTGGCGAAGTGCTTCTGTTCAAAACCTCAATACGTTTGTATGCTGTGAGCTTTTTATTTCCAAACCAACCCCAAATCTCCCTTCTCCCATTGAATCAGAAATATCTTGAGAAAAGTTCCAAGTGTTCAGGCGTGTCGACACAACTCAAAGCTCTTGAACTTGCTGCACTTGGAACTCGCCGCACCCCTTATGACTTGCCGCTGTCATAACTTGCCGCAGAAATAACTTGCCGCTGTCATTTCTTGCTGCACAGGCAACCTGCCGCTGCTACAACTTTAACACTCATGGAATATTTGAAGGGTGTTTCCATGAATAGTTAACCTCTCATGTTTTGTGAACTCTCAAATATGCTGCTGCATTAAATTCAATTGCGGCAACTTGTATCAGCGGCAAGTTATTTCTGCGGTGAGTTGGGCTTGCGGCAGGTTGTCACAGCGGCAAGTGATGACAGCAGCAACTGTTGGTGCGGCAAGCACAGCTGCGGCAAGTGAAGGTGCGGTGAGTTGTGCCGGAGCCGTGTTCAGGGTACCCTTTTTTGGAGATGATATATGCTGGTTGGCCCGCGTGCGCGAATTCAAAGTCAAAAAGGCCTAAATTCACAGTGTTTCAAGGCCTTTTTAAGTCAGTTTTGGACCCACTGTCCATTTCCAATGTTGTGAAAAGATACAAAAGATACCAATGTTTGGAAAAGATCACCCACCTTCTTTTCCTTGGTATAATAGCGAATTATTTTCTTTTGAGAAAAAAAAAAACATGCAGTGGGTAGTCCCGACAGCCCAAGCCGAAAAGTTGTTTCCTTCAGACGGCATTCGGCACAATATACAGGATACTGTAATTTTCATCTGCAATTCGTCTGAAAACCTGAAGAGATCCATCCATATATAAATCGTTGTTCATTTTTCAAGAATTGCGACTATGAAGACTGTGTTGCAAAGACCACATAGTACAGAAATGCAAATCATACAATATATATTACTGCTGTACGTTGAAAAAACAGCAAAGAGATTTCTACAGTAATCATTAGAAATCTCTCGATATCAAACGGTTGGGCAGCACCCAAGAAAACTCCGAAAAACTCGCTGGTGCCGCGTCACGTGCGACATCTATCCCACACAGAAACAAAGAAACTTTCAGCTTTTTAATGAATACTGAATGTTGGAATGAATACAACTTTCCAGGTGTGCCAAATTATATCTCTTATCATCCCCAAAAAGGAAGATATGAATCAGGAAAAGAGCTTCCTCAAAATTTGGCTATACAAGGAAGGAAAGTGGCTGCGAGCGTCCTTCAATAAATCTATTCTCTGCCAAAGATCACTTCTTGTATTTTAGTTATAAGGCCCATCTAGGAAGCCAATTCATTTTTTCCATTGTTTTGCGTAAATTTCCTTTGCACGTGAATTCTAAAAAAGTATATACAAAGTAAAGTAAAGTATGCAAACTTTATTTATGTGGTAGAATGGTGAATGGACTTCAACATTCTGGTCCCTCTGTTATACTGAGCTGGCATCTATTGCAGGGGCCAGACAGACAAAATGAAGCAATGAAAATTAGTATAGCCAAGGATTTGAAAAGTTGATGTTCAGAGTGGGAGCAATACTGACCCTCCCTATACCCAGTGAGCACGAAAGTCTCCAAAAAATGTCCGGAACTCATCCAAATGAGTTCTACGGACATTTTTTGGAGAACTTCTCCAAAAAAAAACTGTGCTCTGGCGGACACATTTTGAAGAACTTGTCCGCCAAAACACAATTTTTTTCTCTGGCAGACAAGTTTGGAGAACTTGTCCGCCAGTGTACAGTTCTCTTGCGGACATGTTCTCCANTTTGTTGCGACGTCTGCTACATTTGCAAGAATGATGAAGGAGTTCAGTCTGTAGGATTTAAAATGTTCCTGGCTCGCATTTCATCTCAGTGACGGAGATTTAGTGTCATGATTTCCTACTTTCCAGCATACACTCAATTTCACTTCGAAAATAAAGACATACTCTTCGATGCAACGTTTATTCCTTTATTTTTGTCTCCATGGACCACACACTTTTCAAGTTCAGCCATTAGAGCAATTTTTCACAGGACATATAACAAGGACATACCTTCTGTGTAGCAAAGTTTTTGTCATGTATGTCACAGCTGTCATGTCCCAAACGCAGCTCAAGCATCTGGCTGCAACTGGCCAAGAAAACTGGTTGTATTTTGAGGCCAGTGAGCCTGGCAAAAATCTCATTTTTGCAGATTCACTGAGCCTCACTCAAGGAAAATAAGTGATCATCACTTCATGGATTTTTTCTGACTTGACAAATCCTGAGCCATGAAGAAATCACCTGATTTCTTCCTTACCCAGTCCAAGCACCTGGCTATAAAAGCCTTCATTCCTCTTTGAATAGCAGAAGAGAGAATCTAGTGTTAAAAGTCACTTACAACTTAAATTACATTATTCATTATTCTGAGGTAACCAACCAATCTTACCATTGACTCTGCCATTCCAAACAACCATTTCATTAACAGCCAAATGAGGATATGGGCAATGAGAATGAAATCATCTGAAAAGAGTTTGAGTTCTTATTCAAAACTTGCATTCTAATGGCTGCACAATTCAATTCCTTTGTCTGGGATCCCATGGACCCATGACAACAGCCAGACATTGCTGCACAAGTTTGCTGTGCTGAATTTGTGTGACCAGTTTCTCAAACAAAGTGCAAAGAACCTCAATCACACCATCTGGCAAACTGCACCATGCAAAAACCCACCTTTTATAGTGTGTCACAACATTTCTCAGCAGAAATATGCAGGAAAATAGGATTGAGCCTGGGGAAAACAGTACCGGGTCAGCCGCCAGCCGGTCAATTCACGGTCGCGCACCCGCCAGCCGTCAAATGCCGGTCCCTCCAATTGCCAGCCAGGGCAGTGCTTGGTCTCTCCAATCCCCAGCCCACCAAACCGCGGTCCGGTCACCCAATTGTCGGGGCACCCCAACAATCGGGTGACTAGGATCCCATTGATTCTAAAATCATGTTTTGCAGTGTTTGAAGATCAGAATGGTTTCCTGCCACAGATGATTTTTTTTGCAAAATTTCAGCAATGTTAGGTTAGTTCAATTTATGTTGGTTTAATTTAGGTTAGGTTAGTTTAGGTTAGGTTAGGTTAGGTTAGGTTATGTTAGGTTAGGTTAGGTTAGTTTAGGTTGGGATTGATGAGTTTTTTCTTTTTGCAAAAATTTTTACAAGATGCAATTTTGTGCAAAAAAATTATCTGTTGCAGGAAACCATTCTGCTCCCTAAAGACTGGAAAGACACTGCAATCAGGATTTTAGAATCAATGGGATCCTAGTCACCCAATTGTTGGGGTTCCTTGACAATCGGGTGACCGGACCGCAGTTTGGTGGGCTGGGGATTGGAGAGACCAAGCACTGCCCTGGCTGGCAGTTGGAGGGACCGGCATTTGACGGCTGGCGGGTGCGCGACCGTGAATTGACCGGCTGGCGGCTGACCCGGTACTGTTTTCCCCAGGCTCAATCCTATTTTCCTGCATATTTCTGCTGAGAAATGTTGTGACACACTATAAAAGGTGGGTTTTTGCATGGTGCAGTTTGCCAGATGGTGTGATTGAGGTTCTTTGCACTTTGTTTGAGAAACTGGTCACACAAATTCAGCACAGCAAACTTGTGCAGCAATGTCTGGCTGTTGTCATGGGTCCATGGGATCCCAGACAAAGGAATTGAATTGTGCAGCCATTAGAATGCAAGTTTTGAATAAGAACTCAAACTCTTTTCAGATGATTTCATTCTCATTGCCCATATCCTCATTTGGCTGTTAATGAAATGGTTGTTTGGAATGGCAGAGTCAATGGTAAGATTGGTTGGTTACCTCAGAATAATGAATAATGTAATTTAAGTTGTAAGTGACTTTTAACACTAGATTCTCTCTTCTGCTATTCAAAGAGGAATGAAGGCTTTTATAGCCAGGTGCTTGGACTGGGTAAGGAAGAAATCAGGTGATTTCTTCATGGCTCAGGATTCGTCAAGTCAGAAAAAATCCATGAAGTGATGATCACTTATTTTCCTTGAGTGAGGCTCAGTGAATCTGCAAAAATGAGATTTTTGCCAGGCTCACTGGCCTCAAAATACAACCAGTTTTCTTGGCCAGTTGCAGCCAGATGCTTGAGCTGCGTTTGGGACATGACAGCTGTGACATACATGACAAAAACTTTGCTACACAGAAGGTATGTCCTTGTTATATGTCCTGTGAAAAATTGCTCTAATGGCTGAACTTGAAAAGTGTGTGGTCCATGGAGACAAAAATAAAGGAATAAACGTTGCATCGAAGAGTATGTCTTTATTTTCGAAGTGAAATTGAGTGTATGCTGGAAAGTAGGAAATCATGACACTAAATCTCCGTCACTGAGATGAAATGCGAGCCAGGAACATTTTAAATCCTACAGACTGAACTCCTTCATCATTCTTGCAAATGTAGCAGACGTCGCAACAAATGTCCTTATTTTCGTTCAGTTCAGTCTTGCAATTGACGCAACCAAAGCAACAAATGTCCTTGGATTCAGCAGAATCTTGAATTGGAGATGCGTTCGTGGATTCCAACATCATGACGGCGAAGCAGACGAGAGCAAACAAAACAATGCAAGATTTCATTCTGTAGAAATGAAGAAAAGTTATCAACATGCTTCTTTTTTCATTGCAAGGAAAAGAATGAGCTGTCACCACAAACAAAAATTTCGCAAATAGAAGTTTTACTCTCTTGCTTGTATGTTTCAAGGTACAGTATTTATGCTAATTGAACAGATTTGACTGTGATTATGTCCCTTGAGTGAGACTTGAACGACTCCTTCCTTTTCGAAGCTCAGAAAGTTTTTGTGATGTTCGTTCCCTTACTGCCCGCTTTTTATTTCATTCCATCCCTAGAATGTTCCACCTTTCAAACGCGGAAACTTCTTCTCGCCAAAATTAGTGAAATTTTATCGCACATATAACGCATGTGAACTTGTCATTTAGTCCCAGGTGTGAATTGGTACATGGACTTTGTTTTTGCATGGGTTTTCAATAGTTTTCCGCGTACAGTACCTATTTCCCTCTCTTAATCTGCCTTTTCTATTTCATAGATTGTGTAGCAATGCTGTATTTTTTTCCAAGAAACAATGAGCGGAAGAAATTGTGTTCAATAGACAGGGACAAGAATTTGACAAAATTCCACATCATTGAAGAACTTTTCTTGACTCAGATTTGTTTTACAGAAAGAAGTCGTAGGTTTTGAATTCTCAACTTTATGCCAGAATCCAAAAACCATCCGCATTTGACCTTTCGAGTGCGATGCCCAATACTTGAGAAGAAATTCAGTGCTTGAAGATATGCTTGATGCTGAAAATATTACTGTGTCTTACTGGGAAATATTTGTCATTTTCGAACGAGATTTCCTTTCAAGATCAACTCATGCGTTTATTTTTTAATCCTGGTTTCAAATTGTTCAATAAATTATGGAAATATCTTCCGGTGAATCCGTCAAGCATATCTTATTTCGAATTTTGATACTAGAGTTTTTTTTCGCTTGTGGTATTCTGAGAAATTAGGTTGCGCTTTTTTCAACATCTATAGGCATATAGTCTAACACTCTCACACGAGTTTCCTTTGTGGGTTTAGAAGATAAATTACCTGAATTAAAGACCCTATACAATAATCTGTTTGAGAAGCACAGGAGTCAGACGTCTATTGGAAAATCTGCTTATTCATGTAAAGTATAATGTAACTCATTTTTTCTGCTTAATATCATCCCTTCATCCCATTTTTTATTGCGCACACATATTTTACTACTCCATACTGCAATCGAATTTCTCTGGGGAAAATCATAATTTAGAAATATTTTGAAATTCCTGTTTCAAATTAAGGCCACGAATCTAGCTGTACCTTCATTTTGTTATTCAGGTGAACAGTTAGCGGATGTCAACATTTCTACATTCTTATCCGTTGATTACTTTTCGAACCCAAATGAAAACGTACTAGATCAGTTGTTAACTTAATCGGAATGAATCGTTTCATCATTGTATTGAAAACACAAAAAAGTTAGAATATTGAAGCAAAATTCGAAATACAACGAAAAGTTTGGCATCCACCGACGTTTGGCCCCATAAATTCGATGATTAATTTATAAATGAACAAGCTGAAAGACTTGAAATCAAGACAAAACATTTCTCGAAGAAAAAGGAAATACGAGCATTTGGATTACGAAACCCGATATAAAGAGTTGAGTCAAATTCAAGGGAGTTTTGACAGCATCCAATTTCCAATCCTATGCGATTCATTCCGAATACTGTAATTGCAAAATGAGCTTCAAGTGTCAAATTCACCTGGACTGCGCTATTCCAGTTGATTCACCAACCATTCAACCCAGACTTCCTGTGAATATAAGATGCAATGACCCATTATAAAATTCACTTTCCCGGCATGTTTCTTTAACACTAAAATATTCCTGAGCTCTATTTATCCTAAGGAAAAAAATGGCTTAACATTTTCAAAAAATTAGGAAAAGTTTAATGCAGGTTAAATTGGTAAGCGGAAAAACCCACTGAAATCGTACCATCGTAACGTAAGCGTATCACTATACACCTGCTTCCAAATGACTCATCGTTCAAAAGCATGCATGCGATAAATGCGACCAACCATTTTTGCAAGAAGTTTCCTCGTTCAAAGTATGGATCCTTTGGTATTGAATGATATAAAAAGGACGTGGGGCTAGAGGAAACATCACAAAAACGTGTGCATCGAAAGAGAAGAAGTCGATTCAGTCTCAAGCAAGCGACACAATCCAAGTAAAAACTTTTCAATTCTCATAAATACTTCAAACACACAAACAAGTGAGTCCAAGTTCGATTTCGAATTTTTTTTATTTCTTTGCACAGCTCATAACTCGTTTTTTTTTTCTTTGAAAAAAAAAAAGACGCGTGCTGATGAATTTTAATTTTTGCAGAATGAAATCATTCATTGCCTTGTTCGCCCTCATCTGCTTCGCCGCCATTGTATCGAAATCCACAAATGCATCTCCAATTCAAGATTCTGCTGAATCCAAGGATATTTGTTGTTTCGGTTGCGTCAATTGCAAGACTGAACTCAACGAAAATAAGGACATTTGTTGCGACGTCTGCTACATTTGCAAGGATCATGAAGGAGTTCATCAGTCCGATGAATCTAAAATGTTCCTGGCTCGCATTTCATCGCAGTAACGGAAAATCGATCAGTCTCATGAGTTTTTATTTTCCAGCATATGCTTGATTGAAATATGCAAATGAAAGTCTGATTTTCAATTCAACGAATTTTTACTCCCTTCTGAATTCACTACACATGCTTTTCACGTAGTCACGTGTCGCTTCCATGGGGATCACATATAAATGTATGCAGTATGTTAAGTGCGACATACAACCAGCAAAAGCCCTCCAGATTTCCCTCGATGTTCCCCTCACAGAAAATGTGTAAAAAAAATTTCAGGGACCAGCTTAAAATTTTCAAGCATTCAAGCGCAAGTTTTTTTTTCATATCCCACACACTACTGTACATAATTTAAAAAAAACTCTCAAACATCACATGATCCTTATGCCTGCCGAGTTATGACCAAATTGAAATTTTTGGGTTACTTTTTGTATTAAAAAAAATTTGTTCCTCATATTATTCCATATAAGAAATGATCATATGTGAAACAATGGAATTTTCAAATTTTTTTCATTCACCAAAAACGCTACTTTAGGAATAGGGCATCTGCACAACATTTCTGAGCAATTCGCGTGCATGTCAATTGCAAATCCCCCAAGATGTGGAATAACAAGGATTCAGAGACGAACACTAACAGTTTACATGCACATTCTGCTATGTTGGTTCAATATTTGTGTGGTTCAATTATTGTAAATGATCTTCATAATCCAAGCAGGATAATTGAGAACATCTGACAGAAATTTTTTGATTGGAATGATATACTGTGTTAAAGAAGACAAAGGATGTGAAGATACAACTGTTGCAAAGGTATACAAGAAGATTGCATGATAAAATCATAGGATTCCACGAAAGACTGCTGTGGCTTGAAATAGAGTCATTTGCTTATTCATTTGTTTCACTTTCTTTCTGAATTTTTAATGTACCGTGAGTCTTCACATTTCAACATCCAAACTCTTACAAAAAAAATTCCTAGGAGACTCTTGAAATTGAATTTATCCCTCTGCTGGTATCATACATTTGAAGAATTTCTTGAAATATGGACCCTTTTTTCCAAAATTTCTAAAATAAATAAAAATCTTATTTCATTATTTCATCTTTGAATTTTCTTGGAAAGATTTTATTATATATGATTTACAAATTGAACATGCATCTTATTGTAAATTTTCTCTACAGTTTGTAATCTAAAACAAACCACAATGATCCATGCACTCGTATATTGAAATTTTAGATCCCAATTCAAGTATGAATGGATCAAACTTAATTAGTAGTTGTTTGACAGAATTTGATGACTTTTCCAGTGGTAGCACGCATAAATCTGCCAGCAAATGAAATCAATACAATATGTTTCATAAAAATGTTGAAAAATCCCTGACGATACATAAGTATATAGAACTAAAGTTTTACTTTTTTCAGTTTCTGCAGTACCTGCTTGAAAATGCAGTATCATTTAATTGTCAAGTGGAAAGAGGTTTAATTTGATATAATGTCCATCCAAATCTATTCACAATGCATCAATTGTGAACCATCTCAAGAAAACCGTATCCCAATGGTGGTTTTTATTGCTCCAAGTATGTTTACAGCAAAAATGTATATTCATTCATTCATTTATAAATTTGCCGTATCCAATACAGTAAGGAATATGTTTAAAATGTGATGACCTGGGAATTCAATTTTTGTTGGCCAAAAATATCATGATACACTTTGCAAATGAAGCGGAAAGTTTAATCGTTTAAGAAGGAGTATAAATGACCATCTTTATTTAATATTAATCGGGCATAACCAATTACTTTAACCAGAGTGTTCGAAAATTGGAAAGCCTGCACCCACAATGTGGACATTCTGTCTTAGTTGTTTTATGAAATAAATCTCGATTGAACTGGTGATCATTCAAAAGTTTTTCTATTTTTCACTACTAATATGGTGCACTATAGAAAAAATATCCTCACAAAGATCCGTATTGGATTGTATGGCTAGTTTGAACAAGTACTGTATTTTAGTGAATAAATGTTAGGTTAAAAAGGGAAATTAATAAAGAGAACACTGGAGTTATTTCTTGAGTTTATGATAAAGATTAAAAGGCTAGCATAGACCCTTCAAGAATCTATTCCAAGAAATAAATGCTTGACGCAGAAGAAAAGTATTCCTAAATGTAGACTAAATGTATTTTTCGTGGCCAAATGTAATGGTGACAACTTGGCCAACTCCGAACTATCTTTCGATGTCATATTTTCTCAAACATTAGGAATGTGAAGTTGATCACCTCTGAAAATACATCGACATTTTTTTCTAGCAGGGAGCATAGGCATAACATCATCTGACGACGGATTTTGAGGCAAATGTGCGTTCCTATCAGAGAGATCCCGCTTCCTTTGTAGGAATCTAAATAGATTCTACGTGCAAACTATAAAAAGCCGGGGCTAAAATGTACACTTTAAGAGTATGCTTATATTTTTGCTGATATTCAAGAGACATTATGCACTATTTATTTACAATTTGACTGAGGAATGGGAATATGCATAGTCTCCATCGACTGCAGATGACGTACATCAATCCGTTTGCTAAATGTTTTGTGTAAGATACACTTTCATATACAGTGATTGGAAGAACAAGAAAGGTGGAATAACGTGAAAGAATCGACTGGATGGCGACGAAAGCAAAAGTACATGGATTTGTTGAATAGGCCTTTATTCGCGCACATTGCATTTGAGCTTGAATGCTGGAATACAGAAAGTCATGCAACTGATGATTTTCCGTTAATGATATGAAATGCGAGCCAGGAACTTATTAGATCCATCTGACTGCATAATTCCTTCATGATCTTTGCAAATGTAGCAGACGTCGCAACAAATGTCCTTAGTTTCGTTGAGTTCAGTCTTGCAATTGACGCAACCGAAACAACAAATGTCCTTGGATTCACCAGAATCTTGAATTGGAGATGCGTTCGTGGATTCCAACATCATGGCGGCGAAGCAGACGAGAGCAAACGAGACAATCAAAGATTTCATTCTGTAGAAATGAAGAAAAGTTATCAACGTGCTTCTTTTTCATTGCAAGGAAAAGAATGCCAGATGAGTTGTAACCAAACACAAAAATTTCGCAAATTCAAATTTGACTCACTTGCTTGTGCGTTCAAGGGTATTTATGATAAACGAAGAGTTTTGATTGGGATTAATTCACTTGATTGAGACTTGAACGACTCCTTCCTTTTCGAAGCTCAATAAGTTTTTGTGATGTTCCTTCCCGCACTGCCAGCTTTTTATTTCATTCCATCCATAATATGTTCCACCTTTCGAACGCGGAAACTTATTCTTGCCAAAATTAGTGAACTTTTATCGCACATATAACGCATGTGAACTTGTCCTAAGTCCCAGGTGTGAAGTGGTACCTGGATTTTGTTGTTTGAAGAAAAGAGATGTCAATAATGGTTTTCCGCGTACCTCTTTTATTCTGTGTCCAACCTTAGTTAGTTATTTTTGCGATTTCTTCGTGTATTGCATGGAAATTTGTTCAGCGAAAGAAAATATTCGTTAGATTGAGAGCATTAATATCCGCCCTTTTTCCTCAATATGCAGCATATTTGTCGAATGAGTTTATGCCTTATTTCACTTTTGTGTTACAATTTTTTTTTTGCCAAAATAAATACATTTTATGAGCAATAGACTTCGACTGAAGGGGATGAAGGACCACTCAGGGTTTGTATGACACGTCACTTGAATTTTTGTATTTCAAATTGAAATAAAGGTATTGGGGAAGTGCTCACTTATTAGTTTTTGAACCTTTGGTTATTGTTTCTTCAAGCTGAATATTCATGAAGGCTTTCAGTTTCAGCCCAATGTATGAGTTTAGAAAGGCAGGGCAATCGTTTATCATAGCAGGTAATGTATATCCTATACCTACCTAAAGAAAAGGAGACAACGCCTAATTGTTGACCAGCAATTGAATACAATTATAGAAACCCATTGGGTGGGTGTGAAAAAGTTAATCCAACGATTCTGTTGGACTTCAGTTATTATGGCCAAAAAATTGAGAGGCTGTTCAAATGTTCTATCGATAGGTTCGTTTACTTTGAAATCATGCCTGCTCTTAATTAATTTTTGAAGTTTTGTTTCATCTATTCTTGCGTCAATAGTAAGTGAAAATCGTCTTTGTTTTTTTCCCAATCTAATTCTTGCATTTCAAATGCCAAGGATTTTTTCTTTTTTCTGGGATGAGGAGTACTTCTTCAGGAAAGATCACGCAGATGAATGTAGTATTTTTATTCTCAAAAATTTTCTCGTAGACATTTTTACGAAATAAAATGTAGATGGTTAGAACACCTGAATTAAGAAGGCAACAAAATCAATCAGCGCACCTTTATTTGAGGCTACAATTGATTGAACGCCGATTGATAATTTTTGCTCCCTTACTGAAAGAATCTTTGAAATTCGCAGAAAAACTTGAAAAGTTTCCATCCAAAGAAAGACCCATTATAAGCGGAAAACCCTTGAAACTACTTGGAACAAAAATATCCAGGAACAGTTTCACACGTGCTGGGGCCAAATGACTTACTCACAAGCATGCTGGGTGCGATAAACTTTCACTAATTTTTGCAAGAAGTTTCCTCGTTCGAAATGCGAATCATGTAGGATTGAGTGAAATAAAAAGGAAGGCCGCAGTGTGAAAAGGAACATCACATCGACCAAGTCTCAATCAAGGAGTGACATAATCCAAGTCAAAACTTTTCGAACGCACACAAACAAGTTAGTAAAAGTTCAATTTCCATATTTTTTTGATTTTTGGGTGAAGCTCATCATTTGTTCTTTTTCTTAAAAAAAAAAGACGCGTATTGATATTTTCTGTATTTCTATAGGATGAAATCATTCATTGCCTTTTTTGCCCTCGTCTGCTTCGTCGTCGTCGTTTCGGATTTGACAGACGCATCTGAAATTCAAGATTCCGCTGAATCCAAGGATATTTGTTGTTTCGGTTGCGTCAATTGCAAGACTGAACTCAACGAAAATAAGGACATTTGTTGCGACGTCTGCTACATTTGCAAGAATCATGAAGGAGTTCATCAGTCTCATGGATCTAAAATGTTCCTGGCTCGCATTTCATCTCAATAACGGAAAATAAAGGGCATGCATTTCTTCTGTCCATTATTCTCTCAATTTTCGCGTACGAATAAAGGCATAATCTTTCCATCAACTTCTTGTTCATTTTGTGAGTACTGTGATGGCCTCGAAGCAATGATGAAAATGATGAAGTATGAAAATGATGATGTACAGTACCAAACTAACTAAACGAGTAATATGACCTGTGCGACTCGTATCTGATTTGTAAAAAGTATGGGTGTACTTTGTGGTCTGTGCAACACAGTCTCCATAGGCGCAATTCGTAAAAAATTTATCATAATTCATGGATGGATCTTTTTAGGCATTCAGACAAACTGCAGAAGAAACAGTACACTGCGTTTTGTGCCGAATGCCATCTAAAGGGAATAACTTTTCCGTTCGGGCTGTCGGGATTACCGACTGGTTTTTTGTTTTGTTTTGTTTTCTCAAGAAAAATACAATAACACGCTATTATACCCACGAAAATAACATAGGTCCAAAATTGATTTTAAAAAGACACGAAATACTGTAAATTAAGATCTCTTTAACCTTTTTGAATGCATGCTCGCGGGCCAACCACGTATCATGTCCAAAAATGGACACCCCGAACACTTGGAAAGTTTCTCAAGATATTTTATGATTCAATGGGAGAAACAAGATTTGGGGTTTCTTTTTGGAAATAAAAAGCGTTGGTGAAGACTTCAATAATTAAAAAAAATATTTATAATCATTTGTGTACATACGGTACTATTCTACATGGAAGTTTTGCCCAGTACAGTGATTTGAGTGTTGAAAACCCCAAAATTTCCTTGTGCAGAACAATCTGAAAACTCACATGCTTCCAATGCAATTGGGCATGCGAACCATGTGATATTATAAAGGATGGGCGAAAACAAGGTACTGTAAACTGTGTTGAAGCTCACCATTGTGCTGCACTGTACTGTAAATCAACGATTTTTCAGAATTTAATAGTGCGACATCTATGAATAATATCTACAAATGGAACCCATCCTTTTTACAAATCAGGTACGAGTCGCCCCGGTCATATTACTCGTTTAGTTAGCTTGGTACTGTACATCACGCATGACCTTGCCCGTGAACAATTCATTTGAAAGTATGCACCCAGCATAGTCACATATACAGTACATTCAAAACTTGAAAACATCATCGCTCAAAGAGTTAAATACTACTCCAAAAGAACCTAGTAACACGCTTACGACTTGGGACGAACCTAAATCTGGTGAAAATACCTGAAATATTTCCCACTTTCCCAGCTTCCCTCATTGACATTTGTTCATAAACAGCAATCAGTATAGTATAAAAAGTACAGTATTGTACTCCGCACAAATACCCAGAGAAGAATCACTGTCCCTCATTGTTTTAAGAAGGTATTACAGTATTTGTTCTGTTTTATTTGTAGAAGCGGAGTGCGGAAAAATCGATCTCCTGAAGAACTTCTTTGAAATTGATACCTGCACTCTTGAATGACAAATTTTAAATTTGAAAGTTCTTGAATGTAAAGAAGACCATGTATTGTGAACAACGAAGATTTTCCTCTCCTTTGTGTATATTAGGCAGAGGCAGACCCAGCACTTGAAAACGTGAATGCAATACTTTACTGTGCCCTTTCCAACACTTTTATTTGATACTATACACTTTTATTTGTATTAAAGCCAGAAATTCTAACGTTTAAACCTGTATTTGTGTCGCTGAAATCGTGAAAACTTCTAAAAAATATGCGAATTATTTTCGGCCACTAAAAATGCTGACTTTCATACGCACACGCGGAAAGCAGCCTTTTGTGTTGAGAGCTTCACGTGTTTTGTAGTTCTAGCATCTTTATATAGATGCTATTGCTGACAGCATAATTCATTATTTTCATCATTGCTTCGAGGCCATCACAGTACTCACAAAATGAACTAACAAGAAGTTGATGGAAAGATTATGCCTTTATTCGTACGCGAAAATTGAGAGAATAATGGACAGAAGAAATGCATGCCCTTTATTTTCCGTTATTGAGATGAAATGCGAGCCAGGAACATTTTAGATCCATGAGACTGATGAACTCCTTCATGATTCTTGCAAATGTAGCAGACGTCGCAACAAATGTCCTTATTTTCGTTGAGTTCAGTCTTGCAATTGACGCAACCGAAACAACAAATATCCTTGGATTCAGCTCATGAGACTGATGAACTCCTTCATGATCCTTGCAAATGTAGCAGACGTCGCAACAAATGTCCTTATTTTCGTTGAGTTCAGTCTTGCAATTGACGCAACCGAAACAACAAATATCCTTGGATTCAGCGGAATCTTGAATTTCAGATGCGTCTGTCAAATCCGAAACGACGACGACGAAGCAGACGAGGGCAAAAAAGGCAATGAATGATTTCATCCTATAGAAATACAGAAAATATCAATACGCGTCTTTTTTTTTTAAGAAAAAGAACAAATGATGAGCTTCACCCAAAAATCAAAAAAATATGGAAATTGAACTTTTACTAACTTGTTTGTGTGCGTTCGAAAAGTTTTGACTTGGATTATGTCACTCCTTGATTGAGACTTGGTCGATGTGATGTTCCTTTTCACACTGCGGCCTTCCTTTTTATTTCACTCAATCCTACATGATTCGCATTTCGAACGAGGAAACTTCTTGCAGAAATTAGTGAAAGTTTATCGCACCCAGCATGCTTGTGAGTAAGTCATTTGGCCCCAGCACGTGTGAAACTGTTCCTGGATATTTTTGTTCCAAGTAGTTTCAAGGGTTTTCCGCTTATAATGGGTCTTTCTTTGGATGGAAACTTTTCAAGTTTTTCTGCGAATTTCAAACATTGACTTGGATTATGTCACTCCTTGATTGAGACTTGGTCGTTGTGATGTTCCTTTTCACACTGCGGCCTTCCTTTTTATTTCACTCAATCCTACATGATTCACAGTTCGAACGAGGAAACTTCTTGCAAAATTAGTGAAAGTTTATCGCACCCATGCTTGTGAGTAAGTAATTTGGCCCCAGCACGTGTGAAACTGTTCCTGGATATTTTTGTTCCAAGTAGTTTCAAGGGTTTTCCGCTTATAATGGGTCTTTCTTTGGATGGAAACTTTTCAAGTTTTTCTGCGAATTTCAAACATTCTTTCAGTAAGGGAGCAAAAATTATCAATCGGCGTTCAATCAATTGTAGCCTCAAATAAAGGTGCGCTGATTGATTTTTTTGCCTTCTTAATTCAGGCGTTCTAATCATCTACATTTTATTTCGTAAACATTTCTACGAGAAAATTTTTCAAAATGAAAATACTAAATTCATCTGCGTGATCTTTACTGAAGAAGTACTCCTTATCCTAGACCAACAAAAAAATCCTTGGCATTTGAAATGCAAGAGTAAGATTGGAAAACAAAACAAAGGCGATTTTCCCCTATTATTGACTCAAGAACAATAGTTGAAAGAAAACTTCAAAAACTAACTAGGAGCACAGCCTCTCAATTTGTTTGCCATAATAACTAGAGGCCAGCAGCTCAATCGCAGGATTAACTTTTTCACACCAAACCTATTGGTTACTGTAATCGTATTCAATTGCTGGTTAACAATATATTAGGCGTTGTCTCCTTTTCTTCAGGTAGGTTTAGGATATACAGTACATGGCTTGCTATGATAAACAATTGCCCTGCCTTTCTATACTCTTATGTTCGGCTGAAACTGAAAGCCTCCATGAATATTCCGCTTGAAGAAAACACCAAGGGTTAAAGAACTAAAAAAGGTGAGCACTTCCCCAATACCTTTATTTCAATTTGAAATGCAAAAGTGACAAACATCAGTGGTCCTTCCCCTTCAGTCGAAGTCTATTGCTTATAAAATGAATTTATTTTGGCAAAAAAAAAAATTGTAGCACGAAAGCGAAATAAGGCATAAGCTCATTCGACATATACGCTGCATATCAGGGAAAAACGGGGGATATTAATGATCTCAATCCATCGAATGTTCTTCTTTCTCTATACAAATTTCCATGCAATATACGAAGAAATCGAAAAATAACTAACTAAAGGTTGGACACAGAATAAAAGAGGTACGCGGAAAACCATTATTGACATCTATTTTCTTCAAACAAAAAAATCCAGGTACTACTTCACACCTGGGACTAAATGACAAGTTCACATGCGTTATATGTGCGATAAANTGGCTCGCATTTCATCTCAGTAAAGAAAAATGAGTTTCATGACTTATATATTCCGGCATAAGCTCAAATGCAATGTGCGAATAAAGGCCTATTCAACAAATCCATGTACTTTTGCTTTCGTCGCGATCCAGTCGATTCTTTCAAGTTCCACCTTTCTTCCAATCACTGTATATGAAAGTGTATCTTACACAATACATTTAGCAAACGGATTGATGTACGTCATCTGCAGTCGATAGAGACAATGCATATTCCCATTCCACAGTCAAATTGTAAATAAATAGTCCATAATGTCTCTTGAATATCTGCGAAAATATAAGCATACAGTACTCTTGAAGTGTACATTTTAACCCCGGCTTTTTATAGATTGCACATATAATCGATTTAAATTCCCACAATCGAACCAGGATCTCTCTGATAGAAACAAATTTGCCTCAAAATCCGTCGTCAGATGATTTTATGCCTATGTGCTCCCTGTTAGAACAAAATGTCGATATATTTTCAGAGGTGATCAACTTCATATTCTTCATGTTTGAGAAAAAGTGACATCGAAAGATAGTTCTGGGTTGGCCAAGTTTTCACCACCTTTGGCCACGATAAATAGTCTACATTTGAATGTATGTGACTATGCTGGGTGCATACTTTCAAAGTTTCAAATGAATCGTTCACGGGCAAGGTCATGTGTGATGTACCAAACTATAACTAAACGAGTAATATGACCTGGGCGACTTGTACCTGATTTTTAAAAAGTTTGGGTTTCATTTGTAAATATTATTCCTAGACGTCGCACCATAAATAATACTCTGAAAAATCTTACTTGCCCAGTTGCCCACTTGCCACACAGTGCAGCACAATGGTGAGCTTCATAGCTCATCCTTTATTATTCATAAGGTTCGCATGCCCAATTGCATTGGAAGAATGTGAGTTTTCAAATTTTTCTGTACATGGAAATTTTGGGGCTTTCAACACTTGAATCACTGCACTCGACAGAACTTCCATGTAGAATAGTACCGTATGTAAACAATGCTCATCAGCATCTTTTTAATGAAGTCTTCACCAACGCAAACTAGAAAATCGAAAGGGAAAATTATTTGAGGTGTGACTCTTTTCAGCTCATGACTCCCAAATAACCATGATGTTCTTTCAATTTGTTTCTCTACCTTGCCCAGTTAATGTCTCAGTATAGCTTGAAAAAGTAAGTGCGATGCAAATTTCAACAAATACTGCAAATGTTGTACAGCAGAGGAAAACTCTTTGACATTTATTCATGCAATGAATTTATAAATTCATATTATTCAAAAAAAGCTCTAACAATATTGTAAGGTCGTCATGAATCGTGTGTCGTCGTCCGGTTTCAACGATTTCCAAAGACATAATCGTGTCCAATGCAATTGCTGATTCTGCTCTGTATTATTTCCAACCTCATTCCGAGAATAAAGAAAATAAATAAGTAGTGCTATCTATTTTGCGGTTTTACGCAAAAAGTTGAAATTTCTCAATTATTTCATTGCCAGCTGGTTCTGCTTGTGAAAAATACCTGAACATGAATATTGAGTCGGTTCTTGAATTGCCTTCCGATTTATACCACATATAGTTACTGCTGTGCTTGTTCTTCACTTGTTTCAGTTCTGCGTGAGTTCAATAACAGCACTGTAAGATAGCTCTAAATATCCCGTGAAAACATATTCGCTTTCTGGCTGGTTTTTGGATATTTCTTATCAAAATTGTCCTAATCTTGCTCACCACTCGACTCAGAAAATTGCATCTAGTATATTTTTCATTATTTGCACAGTTTAATCCGTTAGGGACGGTCGAATTTAGGAAACATTGATTAGTTTCAGAAACGGACCTTCAGCTTTTGTGCGTTGATATTCACGTAAGTTGGTCCATTAATTACAGTACTTCCATCAATGACATTAATTTGGATTACTGTATCAGGATAATCATGAAGAGCTACATCGCATCCACGCTGATCTTAGTCGCAATATTTGCCTCGTCCGAAGGCAAAAACGTGAATTTGCCAGCAGCAAAATGCTTGGGTTGCATCCATGAATTTTGTCCCACGACCAAAAGCTGTTTCCAAGCTTGTGAAATCGGTAACTGGGATGCATGCTATTCCTGTCTCAGTTCGACGTGTGAAATTTGCGATCCGTTGTGCTACCAACAAGTTGATTATCATGACGACGATCGCACTTGCCCGGACTGGTGCATGGACCTCGGCGAATGCATTTGCTGTGCCATTTGTGGCTAATTTCACGAAACGACGCGGTGTTGAGGATTAAACGAATATTCGGCAGAAATGCGGGGCTTCTCTTAATTATTCAAACGAATGCTTAATACTGTATTGAGATTCATCAAGCGTGGAAAATTATTCGCGATCTGGTGGAAATTGTCTGATTATTCCAAGATGAGCTTTTCTGCCGTCCAACATCTCGAGTCATCCATGATGTGTAACGATTATTTTATTCAAAATTCAGATGATGACAGAATTGAAAAATAAGTTATCTATTTTTTAAATTATTTGTATCTGGCGTGACTCAAAAGCCTAGACCTGCGTTTTAATCCTTGAACAAACTTTTTGAAAATAAGCAGTGCTTCCAAGAATTGCTGCTCTACAATTATCTCCTATCGGTTGTTCATGAATATCGCGTTAATTAAAAATTACCTATCGATTGTCCTATATTCATCTCGCTTTATAACGATAAAAAAATTTCTGGCCCTCAACAATTTTTCAGGGAGTAAATTTAATTACATAATATTACTTTTGATGCATATACTGTACAAGCTAAAATTCGTGAATACACGTCTTTTTTGTTTTTAGATCAAACCGTTAATGCATAAATAATTCCTTTATTCAGGTCAGAAGATTATGAGAGAGTGTCTTTTTTTGCTAAACACGGGATATATAAATGTGCCGTAAAATGTAAAAGAAACTCCTTATTATTGAATTGTGTCTCCGTAAAGGTAATAATGTGGTGAATGAGTATAAAAGCTTCGAGTCTCAGTAGTTGCTTAATACTGTAGTGCGAAAAATAGTTCAAAACTCTGATGCGTTCATCATGTGTTCAGCAATCGAAGTATTCAAGTTCATTTTGTGACAGTTTAGGACAACGCGCCAGTAATCCATAGAAATAAAGGGATGCAAACAGGAAATAGGTATTTGAAAACGAAGTTTTATCTTCTGCATTTCGTAAAAATTGATTCAACAAAGGCAATCTAGCAGTAAAATCCGTCAAAAACGAAACAAGTAGCATACAGAATGCCCTCAGAACTTACTCCATATGCTTTGAAAAAATTTGAAATTGAGTCCCGATGGTTTCAAGTGAGATATTGAGATGAAGCTTTTATTTATTTTTTACTTTGTTGGAAACTGCTGATTCACAAGAACTTTTGCTGCATGCCGATGAGTTCGTCGCAACGAATCCAGCAGTCGTAGCAGTCGTTGTAGACGCAGTCGACACAG